ATTAAATTAACCTTAGCTTTTTTGTATAGATAACTAATTTTCTTATATTCGTGTTCGTAAGTATAAATTAACCTGAGCTTCTTTATTGTTTTTTTTCTTAAACCTAGAGTTCATCGCGTAAACTATAGTTGATTGGCTCAAACTTTTGGAATCATATCTTCCCATGAATCTAACAGGTGATTATAAATAATAATTTTTGTTAATTAGTTTTTTACAAATTTAAAGTGTTCAAAAATATTTTACTTGTTATACTATTCTACTCGCAAATTCTCTAATTTATTATTTTGATCTTTTGGACAGGGAAACACGTTTTACCTTACCATCTTGGTATCTAAAAAAAAAAGAAAGACAATACGTATACATAAGATCTATTTTAAATTTGTAAAAAACTAATTAACAATAATTATTATTTATAATTAACTGTTAGATCCATTGGAAGATATGATTTCCAAAGTTCATTTTTTTTTTACTTGTTATACTGTCCTACTCGCAAATTCTCTAATTTATTATTTTAATCTTTTGGACAGAGAAACACGTTTTACCTTACCATCTCGGTAACTAAAAAAAAAGAAAGACAATACATATACATAAGATCTATTTTAAATTTTTAAAAAACTAATTAACAATAATTACTATTTATAATTACCTGTTAGATCCATTGGAAGATATGATATCAAAAGTTTGAGCCAATCAGTTATAGTTTGCTGGATAAACTCTAGGTTTAAGGAAAAACAATAAACAAGCTCAGGTCAATTTATATTTATGAAAAATAACTGATTATTCCTAAACATTTATGAACACAAGTATATAAAAAGACGTTTACAAACAATAAAGAAGAGGAACACGATACATGCATAAGAATGATATGAAGAAGGAGAATGAAGAGATGGCCAAGATGGTTGAAAGTAAACTAAGAGAACAAAATAGGGAATAAGAATGACAGGAAATTTTTTTCTGAACTTCTACAGATTTGTTGCAACTTTTGATCATTTTATTATTATTTTACATGTGAAAACAGACGTAATGATCTAATTTCCAATGACAGATATGAGACATTGTTTTTGGAAACTTGTGTATTGTAAAAGTATTTCATCTGAATTTGATTTTGATTGAATGAGAAAAGCTTTATGAAACCTCCGTTAGATGTAGCATAAACAGAGCAAAACAATGATGAAACAAACATGTTAGCCCACAAATCTTATGTTCTCTTTTTTTTTTATCGCACAAGAATTATTATACTACCTTTAAGGAAATTGATTCTGTACAAATCAATGCAACTATCAATTATAATTCATATTCAAAATAAGAGAAAAAAAACTACAGAAGAATTCGAAGGATACAAAAGAAGTTAAGAAGCAGAAAAAGAAGACGAACATACGACGAAGAAGTCAAAAAAGACAAGGACAAAGTCATATCAATTAAATACAAAAAAAGGTGGATAACCCAAACTAATGAAGAAGCATAAGGATAACAAGATAGGGAAGTTGAAGAAGAAGAAGAAAAAGAATCAGACACTGAAGAAGTTAGAGAAAAATAAAAAATGAGAAAACTAAGTAGTAGAAGAATAAGAGGAAGAAGAGGGGGAGTAAGAAAGTGAAAAAAGAAGATGTTGAGATTATGATTATTGTGAAAAATAAGTCAAAGAAAAAAAGAAAAAAAAAGAAGAAAAATATAATGAGGAAGATCAGAAGAGGAAGCAAAGGAAGACAAAGCAGAAGAGGAAGAAGACAAAGACGAGATAAGTAAGAATGATAGATTAAAGAAATAAGACGAAAAAAATATAAAGGTAAAAGAAGAAGCAGGTGTTGGAGAAGACAAATAGGATAAAGAAGTAGAAGTCAAAGTCGAAGAGGATGAAGATGAAGAGGGAAACGAGGAAGATGAGATAAAAAAAAAAGAGGAGGAGAAGAAGAGAGAGGTGACTAAGAAAAACTCTGAAAACGAGAGGACATATATGTTCTAGATAAGGAAGAAATACGGAAGTTGAAGATGATAAAGTATGAGAAGGTGAAGATGGGGAAGGAAGCTAAGAAAAACATAGAACAATTAATCAAAGGAGACAAAGAAGAAAAATGTGATGAATTATAAGAAGGAAGAAGAACAAGAACAAGAACAAGACGGATAAAAACAAAAGAAAACAAGAAGAAGAAGTCGAAGAAGACAAATATTATAAAAAAAAAAGAAGAAGCCCAAGATGATTAAGAAATTAAGGAAAATACCATAAAAAGAGAAAATTAATAATATAGAGAAGATGAAGAAAAAGAAGAAGATAGAGATGAAGAAGTAGAAGATGAAGAAAAACCAAAAGAATAATAAGTCAGAAAAGACGAAAACAATGAAAAATAATAATCTGAAGAGAAAGACTAATAAACCAAAAGAGAATGAAGAAGAACAACTGTTGGAAAAGAAAAAGATGATAAAGAATAAGTCACGATCAAAAAAAATTTGAGAAGAAAAAGAAACATCAATCAAATAAGTTAAAAAAAAAGAAGAGAAACACAACAACGAGAAATACAACAACAAGAAGAAGAAGATTAGAATGACAAACACTTGCAAGAAAATAGAGATAATTTTCTAGCAAGGGAGAGATAAAAAGAATTACAGAAAAAGAAACTTCTGTAATTACAATGTTTTAGTAAATGGAACAATATATTCATTATGGTTATTAGATCTTTTTTTGTTGGTCAAATATCTAACATTGTTGTTATATTTGTGTTTGGTATTTTATTTGTAATAAAGTTAATAGTTTAAAGATGTAATCACCCAATTATATCTTGTGTTAAATCTTCTGACATTATATCTTTTACTGAATTCAAAACACATCAACTATTCTATTTTGGGGTTTTGGGATATTGGATCGGTGTTCTCTTTCTCTTTGTTTTTTTTTTAGTTTGATGAGTTACAAGTTTTCTTGTGTTTCACGTTCGATAGTATTATGTAAATTACTCACAGTATTAATCTTTTCGTTTGTTTAAGTTAAACAGCTAAATGCGATCTCTTTATGCATCAGTATTAACTGTTCAAAATTACGAAAAATTAGAGTATGTGATCATCATTCTCAGGACAAGTAATAAGACTTTCATTTTTAACACACTTTCGCCTGCATATGGTGCGGGCTACTACCTAGTATATAATATAATGCATACATTTAATTTGAATGTTTAAAATGATGATTCCCTACTAATATTTTTTTTTTGTTATTACTATCTAGTAAACAATATAATGATGATGGTAGGTGTGGCCACATGCTATTATGTTAAGATCATCTCTTCTCATTAATGGCTTTAGGCAGATTGTGCGTTCTTCCTTTGCATCTTCAAGCCTAGCAAATCTTAATGTATCTATATCTTAATCTATCACTTAGCTTCCAAGTTATATACATCACTTTTTTAAAAAGGCATTATGTACACACCCAAAAAATAACCAATGGTAAGGCACTAATTCAATTTCAAAATGGGTTTGTTTCTTTATTGGGTAGGTTTGTTAAAATTATCAGCTGGGTAAATAAGTGACTGTAGAGTCTTTGTATTAAATCCCAATAAACCCATTATATTTTTTTGAAGTCTTCCTTCTTCATGGCACTTTGTCGTTTTGTTTTTTTTCTTTCTTCTAGAAATCGAAAATGGCGTCATAAGGCAACTCGATTTTTTTTCCTCCTCTTTCTGTTGTAATATTATTCTGCATAGAGGAGAATTTGTTGTAGTGTTTTTTTTAGTATGGTTGGATTTTCTGTATGTTTTGTGGTATATGTGGTTACAATCAAGACGATGATCAACAATCTGTTGTTTTAAAATTCCACACCCATATGACTTAAGAATCCGTGATATACTGTATACATAAATAATCAACTGGAAAACTCAGATATTGCTTGGAGAATCAAATCGCAATGAGCACTAACTGCACTTGATCTAAGCACGTTTTGAGGTATTGATACAAAAGACAGGCTCTTGGCAACATCACATTGTCTTTGATCGCTGAATTCCAATAAGCACTAAAGCACTAATGAAATTAAAGCCTCTCCATGAGAATTAAATATATAAGGAACAGAAACTCATTTGACCAATCCAAGAGCTCAGGAGCTGCATCAATAAGCGAAGACTCGAAGACGAGTATATATATAGTTACATATGTCCATAAGCGATAAGACTAAATCTAAAGAATATAGAAACATTCCGATTTACAAATATACGATGATATCTTCTAGAAGCGTCCAATTACCCCCCAAGTTGGAGCATATAGGGCGCGAATGCCCAACTTGTAATGAAAGATATCGAATTCCTTTTGTCCCAGCATTCAGCCATGGCGTCCCAAATTTTGGTTAAGCGCCCGAAGTAGTCTTCAACGGAGGATCCCGACTGTCGACAGTTCGCAAGGGCACCGCGTAGCTGCTGGTATCGCGCTCCACTCTTGAGAGCAAAGCGTTTTTTATGTGGTCCCAAAGTTCCTTCGCAACTTCTTTGTGAGAGATGTTGGATCGCAGCTTCGGTTCGATAGTGAGTTTTATCCAGGTCACCAGCAAATGGTTGTTTTATCGCAGCAGGCTTCAGGATGCTGCCGTCGATGAAGGCAAATTTTTTCTGAGCACTCAAAGCAACACAGAGATTTTGCGCCCATTCGTCATAATTTCGTCCGTTCAAGAGCGGCTGTGAGATAACGGCACCAGGGTTATCTCCAAACGTCAGGTCGTAGGAGGAGATGGTCCTCCTTGTCGAGGTCGGGTTCGTCGCTGCTGATTGACCAGCTGCCGCGGCAAGAGCCGTATCGTCTTTTGCCATCGAAAATCAAAGAGAGAAAAACGTCGAGTGTTTTGTTTTAAAGCGAAGAACAACCAAAGATCGAGATTTCAATGTCGTGGCTCTACTACTATGAGAAATCACAAACAAGGGTTTAAAGCTGTTCTTCTTGTTATTCACAAGACTCGAAGATGAGTATATATATAGTTACATATGTCCATAACCGATAAGACTAAATCTAGAGAATATAGAAACATTCGGATTTACAAATATACGATGATATTTTCTCCAATACATATGACTTAAGAATCCGTGATATACTGTATACATAAATAATCAACTGGAAAACTCAGATATTGCTTGGAGAATCAAATCGCAATGAGCACTAACTGCACTTGATCTAAGCACGTTTTGAGGTATTGATACGAAAGACAGGCTCTTGGCAACATCACATTGTCTTTGATCGCTGAATTCCAATAAGCACTAAAGCACTAATGAAATTAAAGCCTCTCCATGAGAATTAAATATATAAGGAACAGAAACTCATTTGACCAATCCAAGAGCTCAGGAGCTGCATCAATTCATTCGAATCCATATATCTGAAATTTGAACTTACATAACAAAGTCGAAAAAGGGTATTCAGAAAATCGTTAATTGGACAGCAACAGAAGAATCCCGGAGCATTATAGAAAAAGGAAATCAAAGGGAAGATAGATACACTCCTACATGAATAACAATCTGTATATCGTCATACTCTGCTGCAAACTAATAATGAGCTATTGAACTCTCCGGGCCCTGTTTCATCAAAGAAATAACTCAGCTACGTTGATCAGAAAAACACATTAAATAAAGAGTTTTAACTGTACCTTTCTGAAAGGCGTCGCTGAAGTCCACTTGATTCCCATTACCATGTTCCACTGTAGATGCTTCAGCGCATCTCCTACTTTCACTGCCTACTCCTCAGCGACTGCATCACTTTCCTTTTCCTCAATTCCTCCTACATCTCCGCCGACGTGGTTCTCGCTAAACCTTGTTTGATGAAGAAGAACTGGACAATTCTGAATTTTACATCCGGTCAAAAATTCAAATTTATTATCATGAATCTAATATTAAATCTCTGAAGTTCACATAATAGTTCACACAGATTAACGTGACCAGAGACGGCGAGGAAGAAAAAGAGGTTAATTGAAATTGAATAGACGGAGTAGGAGAAGAATAAAACCTTTTAGACATTACAGATGAAAGACTCAAGAGTAGCTCATGTGTTCGTCAAGCCTCTCTGCTTTTCATGTATCCTTCTCTGTTAATCAAACCTCTACTTTCGTTACTCTTTGTACCATTCACGGTGAATCGATTGCTTTCAATCAAAGAACTGAAACTGAAATATGATAAAAAGCAATTGTTGTATGTATATATATGTCAGAAGCAGAAGAAAACGTAGAAAAGATAGCAGGATGGATCAAGCACTATGGAGGAATCATCAAACCAAGACTAAACAGGTTTCCTTTTAAAGTTATTAAGCGAGAAATCAATGGTATTCAAATTAAAATCCCATCAACATCAAGACCACTCACATCATGTTCATCATTGATCTTTGATAAAGCCAGGAAAATCAGTTCATCACACATATATCTGTAGTATATACCAATAAAAGAGTTAAAATCGTATTGAAGTTCTATAACATGAAGATGCAAACCAGAAATCAATTTGCAAGATTGATGTTAAAGAATCCAAAAGATTACAAACTCATAGACAACATTCACTTCTGATGAACCATCTACAGAAGGGTCACCGTTTTTTTTTTTAAAAGGATAAAAATCTGTCAAAAAATCTAAAAGATTGCTGTTAAAGAATATAAAAAGTCACAAACCGAGATCCCATGTTCGTATCTGATGAAGAATCTGCAGAATTCAGGAAAAGGCTCATCTCTGAGAAAGAACAAGAAAGTGACATATTAGCAGAGATTTGTGCGTCTGATTGAACACCCAGAAGTAAACCAACCTGGAAACAATCTCATCATTGCAGAAATCACCATCGAGATTTCTCAACGCGAACAGAAGCTGAAGAGTATATGGTGTATTATCTGAGAGAATTCAAGATTTCGAGAGAACACCAATACGAAGAGGCTGGATTTATAGGGTGAAAAAAAATCAGCTGCGGGTGTAGTGGGTGTTTAATTGTGAAACGAGAAAATGAGTGAAACAGCAGTAACGTTCAAAAATGGGAGGAAGAGGACATCTGCGAGTGGATCTGACTAAACCCTGACTAACCTTTTCGCAGATTCATTAAAAACAAATCCCATCACTGACCTTCTGTCTTCGTGCATCTCAATATCCTTGCTTGTCTCCCCATTAAACCTCACCAACCAAACAATATAATTACGTTAAAGACATTTAAGGAATTAAAGACTTAAAGATTTTCAGAACTACAACCTATCCTTAAATTTTGAATTACCTTTCTGACAACTGTTTAAGTAGAACAGAGTAACCGCGTGTAATCCACCTGTCTTGGTCTCCACCACAACAATCAAAAAACACATATCCAAATAAACTAATCCAAGGAACAAAACCAGTTCTTACGCATATATTGCCACCAATACAAACAAGTTCTTACGCATCGGAGAATGCATCATAAAAAAACAACAAGTTCTAACTTAGCACAATAGTCGTAAGTACTGAAATTTCAACCTCCTAAACTAGAACATATAACTCCTAACCATAGCAGTTGCTGCAAATAATTTCTTCTACTTAAATAGATAAGAAATGGCAGCAAAAACAGCAAGTACACACAGCGTCAAAGCCCCATCACCTGCTTTTGCAATTTCCTCCTTCATCATCGCATTTTCCTCCTTCATCATGGCAATTTCGTCCAACAGCATCACGATTTCATCCTTAAGCAGTGCAACCTCATCCCTCAATTCTCTAATCCGCGGATCGAAGGCAACTTGTCTGTCAAGCGTAGCCAACCTCTCCTTTTGGTCTGCGACCTTTCCCTGCAGGATTCCAATCTCTTCGGTAACCCCCTCGTCCCACCATTTGCAGATGTGCTCTCCCCTCCCCTACGTAAATGGTGTGTTAGCGAACATTTAAAACCAATAAAGACATGAAAACATACACACAAGCTACAAAAGTCAAACCTCTTTAACCCAAACAGGGCACTTGTAGTACTTGCGGCCACCATTCCCTGAAGCTAAACCACTCGCAGTTTCAATCTTCATGAGACGTCCACAAAAACATTTCTCACGGATTCCCCAATCCGCATCCGCATAAGCCCATCCCAAATCCTCTTCTGGTGCTTCAGATGACGACTCTGAGTAGCTAATAGGCATTATCTGCAAATGTCAAAGCACCATCAAACTCCCTGTACTTGTAAACCATTCAACATATACATCAAACACCTTATAACCTATCAAGCTTTTCTTATAACTCGCAAATCATCAACAACCATGACAAGAGCAATACATATAACCAAGCTACATATACTTATAACTCGCAAACAAACAAACTCACAATCACACATATACATAACTTAGAAACTTTGATTTGAAGTTCTCGGCGCATCTAAACAACTTTGGAAACCAAATAAACCCATATAACAACCTAAACAACACCTCAACCACACGGTTGACACCAATCAAAGGAAAACCTCAAATCAACAAAACTTGATAAACCGCAAAACTTCAAAACGTAATCGCAAAATCTGAGCATAAGAGTTTTGGGGTTAGGATCGTCTAATACACAGCCCTAAACCGGCGGAATCACACACCCAGACAACCCCTCCCCTAATTTGAAACAAACTCAAATCCCAAAATTTTACCCCCAAATCGAAAACCCTAATTTTTATTTAGCTAAAAGCTTCAATTCAAAACGATAAACAACTAAAATTGTTCAGGAACGTACCTCGACTATTGTACAGAGCACAACCCCAAAATTGTCTTCCACACTCACCGATTTTCGATAATTTGTTCGCAGGAAGAGAGGTTTTTTTCGGAGAAAACGAAGGACGAGAAATGTTTTCTCGAAGTCTCGCGTGAAGAGAGAGAAGAGAGAAGGCTAAAAAAAAATAACCAATCCTTTGTTGCCACATCACGGACGGACTCGCCCAAATTCGGTTCCAAAAACTCTTCGGGACGACCCGACTCGTCCGACTTTTTTAGTTTTTCATTTAAATTAAATATAAAAAAAACTCATGTACCTCTTAAGAGGCGCTGATGGAGATGCCCTAAGAGCATCCTCCACTAGTGATACTCACTTAGTGTCTCTTAGCAATTATTTAGTATTATTTTTAGGGAGAAAGAAAAAAACAAAAGACTTATGTTTATGTAGTGTCCACTAGTGTTCTTTTTGTTGTGTCTCTTAGCAATAAAATAATATTTTTTTTTCCGAATTTAAATTACATTATTATTCAATAATAAATTTTTAAACATACAACTTATTGAATAAGAAAACATTAAACAATACAAACATTTCTCAAATAATTATTGAAGTAGAAAATATAGAACATACATTTAAGATGTGAATTAGGCGGGAATTGTGTTCCAAATGTGCTCCACTAGATCATCTTTTAAACGTTTATGTATTTGCTGATCACGAACTTCATTACGAATGCCGATCATATTGTTGATGTTTGTAGGCATATCTCTTGAATACGCCATATCAACATGTGATGATCTGCTTCCGTCTGGTTGTTGGAATCCAGATATATCGTACAAACTGCAGTTACCTCGTTCGTTTTCTACAATCATATTGTGCAATATGATTGATGCCCTCATAATTTTTCCAATCTTTTCCTTGTCCCAGATGAGTGCCGGATTTTTAATGATAGCAAACCGAGCTTGAAGAACCCTGAAAGCACGCTCGACATCTTTACGGACAGATTCTTGAACTTTGGCAAATTTTTGTTCTTTTTCACTTTGCGGAAGGTTAATAGATTGGATAAACGTTGCCCATTTCGGATAGATACCGTCAGTTAGATAGTAAGGCAACTTATAGTTGTGACCGTTCACAGAATACCTAACTTTCGGAGCCCGACCTTGTAATATGTCGTCAAAAACAGGTGAGCGGTCAAGAACGTTTATATCATTTAATGTACCTGGAGGCCCAAAGAATGCGTGCCATATCCAAAGATCGTATGATGCCACAGCTTCTAAAACGATTGTCGGTTTTCCTGCACCCCGGGTATATTGACCTTTCCAAGCGGTTGGACAATTCTTCCATTCCCAGTGCATATAGTCGATGCTTCCAATCATGCCGGGAAAGCCACGTGACTCTCCAACATCGAGCAGGTGTTGGAGATCTTCTGGTGTGGGACGTCTAAGGTATTGATCTCCAAACAATTCTATTATGCTTGAAGTGAAATTTTCCAAGCATAAAATTGCGGTAGATTCACCTATACGTAAGTATTCGTCCACCGCGTCTGCTGCACAGCCGTACGCCAACATCCGAATTGCGGCTGTACATTTTTGTAGTGCTATCAGCCCTAATCGACCGGTAGCGTTCCATCTTTGTTGGAAATATGGAACCTCTTCAGATAGCCTATCCACAATCCGCATGAATAAAGTCTTGTTCATGCGAAAACGCCGTCGAAATATGTGTGGAGGATAGATTGCATCTTCCGAGAAGTAGTCATTCCATAACCGGATTTGACCTTGTTCCCGTTCTCGTTCAATGTATGCTTTTTTCTTCTTTTTCTTCTTGGCAGTTGCTAGACGTTCTATGATCTCTTCATACGCTTCCTCGAATTTTTGCTCAAATATTGCTTTAAAAGATTCATCAAGTACATCTTCAAATTCATCATCTTCAAAGTCATCTGAGTCATCAGAATTATAGTGCGATGAAGACGCCATGTAGAAGATATAATTTGGTGAAATGGTTTGCGAGAATAGATGAAGAAGAAAGAAATGTGTATTTCTAAAATTTTGTAAGCTCGAAGATAGAAGATAGAAATAAATAGATGTAGAAGAGAGAATAGATGTAAAAGAGAGAAAATTATATATACAGCACCAGTTTACATTACACTCGTGATACCATCGTTTACAATTATTTCCAAACATCACTAAGCACCAGTTTACATTACACTCGTGACGCAAGTAAACAAAACAAGTAGAGCTCATGACAGAATACTCCAAAACTTCTTGCCCCACATAAAGCACTCCACAAAACCTGAAAAAGAAGACAGAAGTCATAGAAAACAAGTCTCGTGACATTGAACATGACTTTCAAGCAAACATATCCGAATATATCCAAACATTGAAACAAACATACTCGTGACATTGAAAGAACATGACATGAACATTGAACACGACTAACACAAGAACATGATATTGAAAGAAAATGACATGATAATCAAGATAACAACTCAGAAATCAACTTGTTCTTTAGGGCATTTTCGATGTCAGATAGTGGCTCAGGTTTCGCTAGGAGATTGTCCAGGGTTTTGTGCTTAGCGAGTTTTGACTTCATCTCCATATCTTGTTGTCTACTCTTAGCAATTTCAGCCTTCAACTCCAGATCTTTTTGCCTAATACTCCACAAGTTCTGAAACTCGAGAAGTGCTTTACCCTCTTCTTTACAGCCGTTTTGCTTCTTGGCTTTTGCTTTAGACGCTTTCACTCCTGGTGGTCGCATCTCTGCAGCATCAGGGACTCCGGCCTCCACATTGTTAGACGACTGACCCGATCCACCTTCATCCAGCTTTTTTCTTTTCAAGCTTGCACTGTCTTTTAGAGCAGAGGCTCTGCACCATTTCTGGTCGTGTCTTAACTCGCGCCATGCATGTTCTAAGACAAACTTGAAGCCATGATCATTAAAAAAAATGTCATGGGCACCTTTCATGACATCATTTTCATTCTGGCCGCTGGTCTTCTCTATCGTAGCTGCTTCATAGCATCCTACGAACTTGCAAACTTGATCATTGATCCTACACCAACGTTGCTTGCACTGCCCGGCTTCTCTTTTTGGCTGACCGGCGAGATGCTTTGAGTTGTTGTAGTACGAGCATATGCGGCTCCAAAAGGCAGACGCTTTCTGGTTGTTACCAACGACCGGATCTTTACTCGTATTCAGCCACACGGAGATGAGGATGACATCCTCCTTTGGTGTCCACTTGATTCTTTGTGCAGGTGTCTTCCCTCCTCCGCTTGGAGCCTTAGAAGTCTGTGTACTAAACACAGGGACCTCCGCTTGGAGCCTCAGAAGCCTTCGTTTGGCAGCTGGCTTGTTAACAGGTTTACAAAACCTTCAGCCTGACCGTACATGTTGCCGGAATCCATGAGGGTTTACAAAGGCTCGGTGGTGTTGAGGAAAGAAGAGTTAGGCAATGTTTTTTGTTGAAGATTTTATGTTACAAAGGTTTAGAAGTAGGCAATGTTTTATGTTGAAGATTTTATAGAGGAGTTAAAGTTTATGTTGTACAAGTTTTTTAAAGAAGTTTTACTTAAGCAAAGTGTCATTTACTAACCCTAACCTAACAAGCATTGATCACAATAGATCCTAAAGCACACGCAAACTTTCTATTTTCATTCAAGGCATTAAAAAACTAACTACTTTAGGCAAGCATTTATACCAACTCAATGCCTAACTACTTCCGCAAAGACAAAGGGGAAAAAGGAGACTAACCTCGTTGAGAAGACTCGATGATAGGATGCCATCACTTGTTATCTCGATTACCCCACCATGTTAACCTCAGAAACAAAAAATTTAAATAAGTAATGGACATATGACATTCATTTACTCCAACGACTAAGCCTTAACTCCTCTACCTAACCAAAAGCGAACTAGCATTAAACACAAACAAGTGCAAACGCAAACAAACTCAAACAAGCGATGTTGAGGCTCACTTAAGTAAACAAGTCTCAAACACATATGCCAACTTCATCGTATACCCTAAACCACGAATTACTCTTCAAAAAGTTGTTATTATTTGTAAACGTAGGATGTGTAGTGTGAACAATGTTCTACAGATTCTATAGATAAGCCAACTTCTTCGGAATTTTGTAAGGATCTAGCAATCCGTACCTGGCCTAGCTTGATATCCCCATGCTTAGGATTAAACAGGACATGTATATTCCCAACCACTAGCCTCTTCGAGAACTTGTAGATGTTTGCCTACAAATCAACCAAATCAACAGAAACAAAAGAGATTGATTAATTGACAAGTACTGATACTAAAGCATATTGAGCAATTAGCATGCCTGGAAAGTCAAGCCTCATCTCCCACCTTTATTCTCAAGTTTTTCCCCCAAATTCAACAAACCCTAAATTTAAAAATTTCGACAAACCACACAATTCGAGTGTAACCGTTGTTAAAACATCATCTACATGCAACCGCTAATACAGATAAACCCCTAATTTGAACTTTCAAACATGTGAAAAATTTCCCCCAAATTCGAGAAAACCCTAAATTCGAGAATTCAGTAAGCGAAAATCAATAATTCGACTGCAAGCGATATTAAACAACATCTACATGCACACGCCGATACACAAAAACCCCTAATTTGAACCGATGATTAACCTGATCAATTTCCCCCAAATCGACAAACCCTAATTTCCCCCAAATGTTCATCAAATAAAAGAATTAGACGGTTTGAGAGATGTTACCTTACACAGATGACGGAAGAGATGGTCCTGCGGTGCAGAAAACGACCGGAAAAACGATCTTCAGGAATCGACCAAATCGCCTCAGTCGTCGCCTTCGAGAGAGGAAAAAGGAGAGAGAGTTGTTTTCGTGTTTTTCCCGAAAAAAAATTTTGACCCCCAAAAATTTTCATTAAAATTGTAAAAACCTTTAAAATCAAACACCACTAAAATTATGCCACATGTCCGACGAGACGGTCTCGTCCGCTCCTAATATTAGGAGCGCTCCGTCCAGATTTTCGCCGAGAATTGATTAAAAAATGACCGAGGCATATGAAACTGTGCCGAAGGTTTTTTAAAATCTCCTGCTGGAGATGCTCTAAGAAGAAGCGTTGCACGAAGAAGAAGAAAGACTGGGCTGAGAGGTTTTAAGTGGGCTTCGTCCATTTTCCAGCCTACGCTGGTTTACAATTTAGTCTTCTTCAGTTATAATAATGAGATCCACATTACAATTTTATCCATGTTATGAAAAAGTCTTCTTGAGTTATATGTGGTGCTGACATGGCGCGATTTTAGACAAAGGTTTCCCTGGCTGACGTGGACAGGGTGAGAAGCCTAAAACTTATCATTTTATTAGAGTAGATTTCAGTCTTTGTTTTATTTCGAGATTGATTTCTCTTTCTTTCTAAACTCATGTATGATCTCAGAAATAGTGAATCGAAAATCTTTTATCAAACTTCTTCTTCTTTGAGCATGATTCACTCAGAGGTGTTTGTTGGTGTGTAATATCCAACACCCGCCCTCTGATATGTCTTGGTGTGTCATTTCCAAAGGGTCAACGGGAATATCAAATGTCTTTCTGCAACTTTTGTGTGACAATTCAGTCCACCATCTTGTTCTACAAAGCCTATCATTTTTCTATTAACTTCTAGTGTTCGGTTCTTGGGAGGATCATATTAAGTACAACAAACAAACTATCACTTGATGAAGTAAGTGGATTCACGTAATAGTAAGAATAAGAGAAAGAATGCTAGATTCAATTTCATACACATAATAGAAATATGAGAAAAGGTCTAAAAAGTAAATCGTTTTATAGAGCATAAGAGTACAGAGCTCCAAGTCCTCTTTCACCATCTAAAACATTATACAATTCACATTCTCCATCCAAAGGGCATAATCCGTAGAAGTAGCAACTGTAGAAGGTTGTGTAAATACCAAAACGAAAACAAAACAAAACAGTTTAACGGAATTAACGGTTATTTAAATACTGAACTTACATGTTTTTGCCCAAAAAAATACAGACTTTGTAATAAGTCAAAAGATACACAAATTTAAGTTGATCTAACCAAATTAGATATCAAATTAGCGTCAATAGTAATTTCCGTGTGTTTGTCTTAATTGTCGTTACTGGTTCCTTTAACTAAAACGATGCTATTTTTTGCAAACACAAAAAAAATTCTCAAATTATTTTCTCAAATCCCTGATTTCATTACTCTTTGTCGGACCTTTCTACAATTTCACGATATCTCTTTTACAATTCACTAATCCAAAATGAAGATGTCAGGAAGGAAGAAGCTAACCCCACAACGTCGCAGAGCATGCGAGTCCGAGTCATCACACAGAGAAGTTAAAGATGAAGTAGATGGATATGTCAGAAAGCAGTGGCAGAATCATAAATATTTTTTTATCGGAGTTAATATTAATACATTATATATTTTTTACCGGGATCGATACTAATATTTTCTATAGATTACTAATTATATACACAAATTTTATAAAATTCATCGGGTTCAGTTGACCCCCCTCCGCCGCACCTAACTCTGCCACTGTCAAAAAGTGAAGACCAAAATTACTAGGCAAGGAATTGTTAACATTTTGCTCAAATCTGCAATTATGAAGCAGAAATTCTTCAAAGTAATAAAGGCACCATTACAGAGATTGACTATTCCATGGCCAAAGCCAGGAAGCAAGCAAGGGCTAGATCATCTTTATGTCTGCTTTGAAGCACAACGAATGGCTTGGAAGGCACTTTGTGGAGAAGAAAAATATTACGCTATGAATAAACGATTTATAAAACAAGAAAAACGTTTTGTAAAAGCGGATTAAGGAAAAACGAGAAGTGGAAGCAAGATGATCTCTTTCCTTAGTTCAAAATATCTCCCGCAGTGTGGCGGTTGGATGAGATAATGAATCACAGGATACAACCACTGATATTCGTATAAATGCAGCAACCGATTATAGAATGTGACGAACTAATAGTTCTACGATATACTCTCGGACACTTACTCTTGAATGAAGAAAAGAGACACGAGAGATTGAAGGATGTGTGAACAAATTTTTTCTCCGTAATTTTTTTTGAGTGGAGCCATTTGAAAATTGAGAGAGGAGAGGTCAATATATATATAGCAAAGGAGAGAGGAGGGTCACACGTAATCAGCGTATTAATGATGTGATTAATTTTGCATTAATGATGCGATTTGGGCGTTAATCTTGACGTAATTTTCGGGATCGACATTTGACTGCGGTTTTAATGTCGCGATTCTGTAAGAATTTGAACCAAAAAATTTAACAATTTGGACCAGAAATATTGACCAAAATGTGGCCCAAAAAGAACATCTTTGTGGGCCGAAGACCCACATTCACCAAAACCCAAGACCCAAGCCCGAGCCGGAGCCCGACTTGGCTCGGCGGTGCGCGAGGGGTCCTTTGTTCTCCTTCAAACACTTTGAACAATGTCATAAGTGTGTCTATATTTATATGACTCTAAATTTTTTCAATCCTCCTATGTGGGACAAATTGATGTTCCTCACATTTTAAGTAGCCTTAAAAGGCTTTATTTTTTATTCACACTTCACCAAATGTAAAAGCCTTTAGGCTTTGTAAATTATTTGGTCCAACAATCCCCCACATGAATAGAAATAACTTTAGACATACGACCGGACTGACTCGAAAACTTGATTAGACTAGACTAGACGGACTTTCGAGAGTATAAACGAAAATTCCACTATGTTTGAGATAGTAATATGTTTCAACCTTGAACCACTCAATGTTAATATCTGTCGGACTTACTCAGCCAGGAGGTGAACATGATGTCTTGAACAACCTGTATTTTGATGTAAATCGAGACAAAAAGTACAACTCAGTTTCATTTTCTCGTAGAACTAAGTTCTCTATTGTGTTCATTTTGGTCTTAAACTTGCCGGGTCAATCATGAGTGAAGTTGGAGAATATAGCCTGTTGTTTTTTCATTCTCCTAGAAACGGCCCCATTTCACACTCACTATGTGATTTTGCCAATATTCTTTATTTTAAGAAGTGTTGTACTTCACTGATATATCAAAGCTATGGTCTTATCATTAAAAGTTATGGTTATCCTTTGTAGATATACAATGAAATTTGTCTGTAAGCACTGTCAATCATCTTGTAAACTCGGTTAAGACTACACGTCTTTCAGTGCGTTAGATTTTGCTTGATTTAGTTTTCCCTTTTGAACCTTACATCTTGGGATCTCCATTCATGTAGGTGGGGTTTCCATCAAATAACCTGTTTAGTCATATGCTTTAAACCTATTCCCTTTGATGATTTGAGAACTTGATCACGAGCTAGACCCTTAGTGAATGGATCTGCTAGATTATTAGCTGATTTTATGTAATCTAGTGAGATTACTCCGGTTGTGATCAAGCTTCTAATGGTTTTATGTCGCCTTCTTATGTGACGAGATTTACTATTATAGAGATTATTCAGTGCCTAGACGACAACTTATTGACTATCACAGTGTACACGTATTGCCGGGACTGGTTTCTCCCATATTGGAATATCTTCCAAGACGGAGCCATTCAGCTTCCTCTGCAGCTTTATCTAAAGCTATAAATTCAGAGTCCATGGTTGATCGGGCCAGTAGAGTTTGTTTGGAAGACTTCCAAGAGACTGCTGCACCACCAAGGGTAAAAACATATCCACTTGTGGATTTCGAGTTTTTGTTGTCAGATATCCAGTTTGCATCACTGTATCCTTCCAAAACTGCTGGTTTCTTCCATAGTGCAGCCCATAACTTTTAGTGTATTCGAATGTAATTTAATACTCTAGTTATGGCTTTCCAGCATTTCTGTCCTGGATTACTTTTATAGTGACTTAGTACATTTACCGTGTGTGCTAGATCAGGTCTTGTACAATTGGTTAAGTACATAAGGCTACCAATTATCCTTGCATATTCTACTTGTGACACTGCTTGACCTGAGTTTTTGGTCAAGTGAAGTTGAGAGTCAACATGAGTTTTTGCAGTTCTATATGAATAGGTTTTAAATCGTTCAAGTATCTTTTCAGCTTAATGAGCTTGAGACAAGGTAATCCCATCAGAAGTTCTTGTGATTTGTAGACCCATGTCTTTCATGTCAAACTGTGCACTAAGCATGTTCTCAGTTTGTTGAATTATGTCATTATTGCTGCCAATAATTAACATGTCATCTACATATAAACATAGTAAGATATATCCATTAGGGGTCGTTTTTATGTAGATGCATTTATCACATTCGTTCTGAAGCCATCTGACATCATCGCATTGTCAAATTTTTTATGCCATTGTTTTGGTGCTTGTTTAAGTCCATACAATGACTTCACAAGTCTATAGACTTTGTGTTT